TGTGAGTTTTTAGTTTTTAACTTTCGAAGACATCGAAACTTTTGTGTATATAACAGCGTAGGGTGGTATTGGTGTATAATAAATACAATACAACTAGCGCATATCTATAAACTCATGGTCGAGGGATTGTACCCAGGATCGACAGCTGTCCAGGACAATAGTTTCGATTTTATGACCCTCAATCTGCTTAAACTAGACGTGGACAAGGGTGAGTATTCTGAGCTTTTTATTGACAGCGATTTCACCCCTCTGGCTGTGCCTACGGCTTGTCGAGTTGCACCAAATGGAGGGGAGTAGTCTTTGCCAGCCTTGTCGATATCGTAGCTGCAGAAGTGATAATCCTGGAACAAGAAGAGGTTCTTTCTTGCCTTCTGAACTCGTAGTATTCAAAGCTAGAAGCTTCACTAGGACACATACTTTTTCTTTAGAAAGGACCTGAATAAAGCAAAAGCGACAGCTCTCTTCCTCTGTGGTTAGGCGGACGGCGAGAACCCATACAAAACAAGTGTACACGATTTTCTCCATCCAGGGCAGACCTGATTAGTCCTATTCAGAACGTCTTAGTTGCTTAAACAAAACCCAGACTTCCCGTAAAGTGTTCGCGAAAGAGCTACGCGAGATTTGGTACACTCCGATGGTTGGAGGCATAGAATCGGCTAATTCGCAGTATTACTAAAGTCAAGAATTGCAAGAGAAGTGCATTACGTACATCGGAGAAGAAGCCGACGGCGAAGCTCTTGGGTGATCGGGTAACGCAGTTCCCAGCCCAATCGGGACGGTTGAACTCGCTGACGCATTGACCAATCCCTTGAGAGTTATGCAAACGAATCTGTACTCGTACATAGTTTGGTGCTGGAAGCTATAAACTCTGGTATTTAGGCTAATTAGCGCTTGTCAGACTTTTGTGATACAAACTGTTTCCAATCTCAAAACTGACTCAACTCCTAGCTGTCCCCTCCCTAGATTAGGCCCTCTTAAGGTTAAAAAAGGTCTTGTCTTCAAACATGTGTGTCCAACCTGATAGGTACAAAGCAGATGTGCAGTTGGTGGATTTGCAGTCTCATTGATGGGGTGGATTTGATGGGAGTTGGCATAACTCTGTGGGGTTGTAAACGTATGTATGAGGACTTGTTTGATTGCTTACCTGGCAAGAATCCTCAACACCCTTGACGACTTCCGCGATTTCACTTTTAAGTTGTCTATCGATACAAAGCTTAGCGTTACGATCTCCATTGTTCTCTGAAACTTTCAAAAAAAAATGCTCCATTTTATTGCAGGAAACGTAGAGGACTGTTGATGGAGGAGTAATAAACCCTGATTGTGGCCATGGAATATCCCAACCTGAAGTGTTTGCTGAACGTTGTTATGTTTCTGAAAGGATAGGAAGATGTGGTTTCTGTACGGAACAGTGAATACTGTTGTTGATAGGAAGACTGGGGTCCATTACTTACTCTACCAGTAGTGGAGCTGTCTGAACAACGTAGACAAGGAAATCTAGCCAAATGGAGTGTAAGGAGACCTATATGTACTGTAGAAACCGACAGGAGATCTGAAATTATTCTCAAAGTAGCAGATAGCTGTTCATTATCTGATCACACTTCCCTAAAGAGCGTAAAAAATTGAAAGAAGCAAGACGCTCAATCATTTTCATTGGTGAAACCTAGGGAGCTAAAAGTAAGGAGCTGATCGAAGTATTCGCAAACCAATCGGATCAACGATGCCATTACAGTGCCTTTCATTTTTGCAGAGATGTAGCAGAGTGCAGAATTTTCCCTTACATGTAGTCTTTCCGCCAAAACATCTGTGAGTGTTTTGGGAGGGGGGGGGGGTTGTGTTGTGAAATGATCATTGTTGCCGAAGTGAGAAAAGTACTGTAATGACATCATGAAATGGTTCAATAATTCTTTTATCAGTTCTGCAACGATTTGTTTTGCATTGCATCCTTCTTCTTCAAATGTCAAAGCTCTCAACCCCACATCCAAGGGCATAGATAAGGGTTGTCAAATGCCGAACTAATGAAAAAAAGGAGTGATCATAGGACTCTGGACTGCCTGGTTGAAATTTTGATCGTCATTCACTTTTTGATATCTTTGATATTCTTGCATTTTTAGAGAATTCCCTTTCCACGATAACATCACTGCTGTCATAGAAATCCAAATTTACATACACTTGTGGATGTTTCTTTCAAGGTGGCTGCGGAACTCCAGGAGTTTCGTCTCCACGACAACCTCGTTCAACGTATTTTATCCCTTTTATGGGCACAGCTCACAATATTTTGAGGTACACTTCTTTAGTCGAAAAGGGGAAGTATTGTTTGAAAATAGTACGTTGTGGCGAGAAAAGCGAGAAAATTCGTCGAATTTGGGAGGAGAAAGACTTAATAAAAGTAGTGAAAGTAGGGGTTGCACGAGTTCACCATGGCGAGAAAGGTGTGGGAGGGGTATGCGGACGAGATTTCAGTTGCTGCATTGCACAAAGAAGCGATTAGTTCATGCTAAGATTGTTTATAACGGCCTTTCAGTGCCTCCATGGTACATGACAAGTTGTTTGAACTTTCGGGGGCATCCCTTATGAACGGTAAAAACTGTACAATGACGATAAAACTCGTCCGCCTTCGGCGTGGCATACAGGCAATACAATCCCAATCTCTAAGTCGCTTTACGATCTGACAACGGCACATATGCTACAAAAGGGCTATCCTAGATGGATATCTCAGAAACCATTCCTCCCGTGAACCAACTTGAAGTGCATGGGGTCGTGTTTGGATTGAGTAACTGTTGTTACAATGTATAAAGCAAGCACCAAGACCGATAGGCTAATCATATATTTGAACTCATAAGAGTGGTGGCATGTTTTGAGCCAGTGAAGAACATGTCTCCTACAGTACCTTCTCAAGGAGTTTTCCAGAACTAATTTTTCGGTGCAGCAGAAGGGAGGAAAAGCTTAGTCTGGGCAATTCATATGTAGGGGGCTCTGTATCTCCCTAACTTTCTGCCAAGACATTCGATATTATCTGAGTACCCTTTTAGACAATAACAAATCAAAATACTGTCGGGTGCATGCTGGCCATATTCCTTAAAGGCACCGTTTACGATAAATTTAGGGTTTCCTTTTTTGACGGGAATTCATAGAACTACTCTAGAATAAAGTGATAACAACAAAAAAGCGCAAAAAGTGATGAACAAAAAGAAATAGAAAGGGTCAAAAAAGAGCTGGAAAGGGGGGTTGGACGAGTTTCACATTGGAAGAACTGCGGTTAAGGGAGTGTTCGGACGAGTGCAGGATGGCAACGCAATGTCTGCAATAGCAGACAACACANCCAAACAGACAACTTCGCTCCAATGCGAATGTGGTGAAGGACAATTAGAACTCGTAGTCAGCCTAGCGAGGGGCGGAGGCCTCCCGTCCCCCACTGTTCCTGCCCTTATTGGGCCCTATCCAGACCGTTTTTCGACCTCATTCCTGCACAAATGGTATCAGAGGGGGCGTCGAATTCAAACCATGTGCAGATCTCCGAAACCATTTTTTTCGTGAACAGTGCCTTTAACATCATGCCTTTTCTGATACTTGAGTACAAGTATATTATATGCATTTTACATATGTATGGCTAATAGTAGCTTCCAATCGTCTTTTTACTCTGTGGTACTTTTTATTTTTGCTGATGTGATTCCACAACTAACCGCCCTAATCAGCATGAAAACCTATGCAGTAACTTAGCCCCAGGTTTACTAACTCCTTGGCTGCATGCCAGATTCCCCTTTCAATTGCGTTCCAATCCATGAATTCCCACATCTAGTAATCCATATCAGTCTTTTGCCATCCCGTATACCTCACGAAAAGAATCGGAGGTCTCAGAGTCTGCAATCTTATACTGTTGACAGCGAAAACACTCAAACACTCAGACGATTCTGAATAGAAACGTGTAGCGCTCTTGTGGTTATCTTCAGATTGACTTCTACTGTATTTCTCGTTTTTTCTAGAAATTATGACCTTCAATCAGCTTCAATTAGGCGTGGGCAAGGGCTGCTTATGACGGGTGCGCTTCGTTGCGCGCGTCCGTCAAAACTAGGTCACGCCGTAGTCGTCGCATGCAGTGCTTCAGCCCGCGATCTTTGACAAACGTCGCAGTTATCTGTGGGCATACGGTTTGCGCTTGCTCCACGGCAGTCAGCCAAAGGGAAGATAACACGGACAAATGCAAATCATTCGCTCCATTGACACTTGGTGGTACCGTAATGTTATGTCAAGACCTCAGTTGGGGTGCGCCGCGCGCGAAGTGGGCGGGGTGACCTAATTCCGACGGACGCGCGCAACGGACGTTCTCCGCGTATGACAAATACCATTAGCTGTCTCAAGTGCGATCCTTTCTTCAAAGTCTACCGAATGTTGGGGCTAACAATTTTTCTTGTAAAAAACGGTCTTCTATCATCAACACTCTAAACGAAATTTCTTCGATTGCCCTTGAAGAGGCCCTCCTTTCGCAACAGAGATTGGGTCAGTAAAAAGCCAAAGAATTCCTTCCACCCCTGGTTGCAAATGATTTCAATTGAGATGAGTTCTATCAGTACCGTCACGCACTTGACTGTCATTTGTGGCTACAAGTTTATTTACAACTTTGTTTACCCTTTGGTATAGGAAGTCATCCCTACACATAAATTTCGAAAGAAAAAAAGGATCAGGGCGCGGGCAAGATGACAATAGGGCTCGCAACTTAGTTCCACCCGAATGATGGAGGGATGATCATCTCCTTATCGAGTGGAACTGGTCAGTAGCACTATAAGGGCTTCAGTTTTACCCCTTTTCTGATGACTACTTCTGCTTCGAATTCGAGACCAAATTATTCCGAACAGCTTTATTGACAGAGTTTTCAATCCTCTGACTCGGGCTCCGACTTGTCGAGTTTCACCAAAGTGAGCGTGTGAACTTTGTCACCCTTGATGACATCGTAGCGGCAGAAGTGCTCATTCTGGAACAAGAATCTTTTTTACTTGACTGCTGAGTTCGCGGTATCCATAGCTAGAAGGCTCTTAACTAAACACATAGTTTCTCTTAAAAGGAGCTAAATGATAGCAACACTTGGCCCACTTCCTCTCCGGTTCACAAACTTGTAGGAAGAATGCAAAAATCCGAACAAATCGTTTCACACATTGGTTTCCATCAAAAGCAGCCCTAACCAGTTCTAAATGTGTTATTTGCCTGAGCGAATTCAGACTTGCCAAGTTCTTCTACCCTGATTTGTGCTATGTTCCTGAAATGGAAGCTTTAAGATGAGGGAGCCTATCCATTGGCACCTCGTTGCCTGGCAAGGTGACACCAATCCTTAGCTATAGAAGGTGGCCATGGAAAAACCGCGTGAACGGTCGGTTCAGTTCGAAATCTGGGCCCACAAGATCGTCTCATTTGCAGTATTACAATAGTTAACAAATTTAAAAGATGCAAAGAAAGTGCATCACGTACGCTGTAGTAGGAGCCGCGAGAGGTGCCTTTGGGTGATGATAGAACTACGCAATTCATAGCCCATCCAGGACGGTTCAGCTTGCTGGAGAGCGCATTGACGAGTCCCTGAACGAGGTTGTAAAAGCGATTCTAGACTCAAACATGGTCTGTTGTTTGAGTCTTTAGAATCAGTTGCTTTGGTGAGCCAACGCTCGTCAAACTTTTGTTATACAAGTTGTACTCAATCGGGAGTATGACCTCAATCTCTCGGACTGTTTTCTATATGGACAAGGCCCTTTCACCCTCGTTCGCCCTTGTTCGGATAAATGATCATTTTCCCAAACATATGTGTCCAAAACTACCACGTATTAAACAGATCCCCAGTTGCTGGTTGCGGTCTCGTTGACGGGTCGATTTGTTAGAAGTTGGTATTATTAGGTCGTGAAGAAAGTTCTTGCGGTTTTTGACGCCCAATTTTCAAATGCTCGCCGCGATGTTATTTGCTATTAGATTTTTTGCGTTTTATACCATTCTGAAGCGCATTTCTCGCTCTATTCAAATATTTAA